AAAATGCTTTTTGTGTCTTTTTCCAAGGAATCTATAGAAATGTAGAAAAAGACATGAGCAAACAGAGGACCCTACTTTAGGCTTTAAAGTCTGTTTTACCTCCTTGACTTAAAGCTTTCTTGAGAGACTATGAAATCTGTTGCCCAAAACCAGATACTTAAAGTCTATGATATCACTTAGCTAGTTAGTGGTTAAAAACAAAACAAACACACACAAAAAAACACCAATGGACATAACTAGACCTAGTGAAATTTCTACTTTGTGAAGTTTGCTGATAGCTAGGGATCCTGACTTCTTTCTAAAAAGATACAGAACTACGTAAGCATTCATTCTAAAATTTTGCTGGTGGTTGAGAGTGATAACATTTTCACTTTTAGAATATACTTCCTCAATTCCTTTATAAAGATCACACTTAACCTTGATTAGGTAACCTTTCTTCTATTCTTCTTACGTGAACTTTTTCAAGCAATGGTCACCAAAAAGTTCAGTATGAAGGTGTATTATCTATTTAGACGTGTTACCTTTTCCTTTCCTTCTGGGGTCAGCTTCTGACTAGCACCTGACCCAGTGACAGCTTGGAGGCTTCACTCTCTAGGGGATGTCTGAACCTGACTGCACAGTGAGATTTCTGCTGCAAGTTCAATACATTGTTCCAGGTGGATTTTACACAGCTGGAGAATGCAAATAGGTTGTTCCTCACCAAAGTATATGTCACTTTCAAAAGGAAACTTTAAAATGCTTCTTTCTAATCTTGCTCCTACTAAATGATCAATTATTTAAAGAATATTGGCTTGAAGGGCTGGCCAAGGGCTGGCTCTCCCAGGTACCCACATTTCTTTTTTGGTACTCACTGTGAACCCTTCCATTATATTAACAGAATGTTACCTTCAGAGCGTCTGACCCTTCTCCTGCTCTTCATCATCTTGGAACAGGTTTGGGTGTGACACCTTTTATCTCTGCCTCACCATTGACTGGCTGGGTGACTTAGAGCCCGTGGTTCTCAACTGGTGGTGATTTTGCCCTCCCAGAGGACATTTGGCAATGTCTAGAGATATTTTTCATTGTCACAACTGGATAACACTACTTGTATCTAATGGGTGAACACCAGGAATGCTGCTAAACAGTCTAGAAAGTATAGGGCAGCCCCATAACAAAGAATTTTCATACCCAAATGTCAATAGTGCTGCTGTTATGAAACCTGGCTTAAAGTAAAAAGCTTGGCAGTTCGAGCCTTGGCTCCTTCTTCTATTTAATGAGGGTCATAGTGGTCAAGGGTGGTGCTGTGTAGGATATGGACAGGAGTATACTTAGAGCATAATCACTGTCCCATAGCATCAAAACAGTAATTGTTTTCATTATGTATCAGACATGGTGTTGGATATTTAAGACGTTATTGATTTATATTAAAATAGTTGCTGGTTTACAACTTTTTTTTAGCACTTTCTATATGCTAGGCACTGATTTGCTATCGATAGATTAGTTTAAAAGAAGAGGACAACTGATCTCTATCTTCAGGGAAGTAACAATCTGCATTTAGGTAACTGTGTTCATTATTTTGCAACAGAGAGAACCCAGTTACTGAGAACATAGGTTATGGTAGCAAAGTTACATACCCAGAATTTCAATGCTGAGGCAGGCCTGGATTCAAGTCTAACAGCTGCGCCTGATTCCAAAGTCTACATTCTTTCTACTCTATTATTGTCAGATTTTGGAAAACCAGGTTACTAGACAGGAGGATTGGATATCTCTCCTCTGTGCTAATCCCAGTGATAATGTTAGCATCGTCCTCCATCCCTCTCCCTCTGTAGTATACATCTATGATGATTTCTTTTGTTCCTTTTCCCTTTCACTCTTTATTAACTCAACAAGTATTGAGTACTTGCTCCTTGTTAAGATACAGAAGAACTATGAGATACTATCTTGGTCTGCAGGAAGTGCTGACGAGGGGCCATCTCTACTAGAAGTCAGTGCACTGAGGATTCGAGAATTCCCAGCAGGAGCTCTAACCATCTCTCCTGTGCATGATGTTGTCTCCATCTGGGGATTGTGGACTTCCTACTGGGTGTTTATGTGTTCTTTCCACAGTTTGTTGCCATGTGCACAGTTAGTCTGTATGTACAACAAAATATGCCTTTGGTGTAAAAAAATTATGGGTGTAATGTTTGTACATCTGAGTCTCATGCTACGCTTTTAGTTTAGCACAGATCTGTAGCACAACACATTTTTAGAGGATGCTGCTATTGTGATGTTATTTGGTCATGACCTTGAAGGTCCATGCCATGTAGTACACTGTAATTTTTCTGAAGTGTGAATTTAGTTGCATGACCTGAAATACCAGTGTTTTTTATAGTGAAGGAACCCAACAATTACCCAATATTTCCTTTAAAATGTGGCTTTGTGAGTTTCATCCATTGTGTCAAGTATGTTGAGGGCCAAGCTACTTTAAGAATGTCAAAGTGTGGGGGAACCAGCAGTTAGCGTAATGGCTATGTTGCTGGACTCCCACGTAGTCGACCGCGGTTCGTGTCCCGGACCCGGTGGCTTAAAACTCAAGCCGGGCGCGTGTGCGTGCATGCCCAAGATCCCGAGAGGAGAATGGAGGAGAAGGGATTGCAGCGTGACCATCCCCCCTGGGGGGTGATTTCTCGCTTTCTGTCTCTATGTCTCTCTCTGTCTGTCTGGCGAGCGCACGTGCCCTACAGTGAAAATCTCTCCAAAAAAAAAAAAAAAAAAGAATATCAAAGTGTGGTATCTTTAGGGATATCGTAGCATTGTAGTGCAGAGTTTGATAGAATGGCTGTGGCCCTGAAGGAGCACTTATCACCTTCAATTACTCTTGACTGACCTGTGAGACTATAAGGTGGTATTTGGGCATCCATCAACATCTCAGGACACATGACACATGAATGCCAAGGCCCTTCTCTGCTAAGCAGCCACGTTTTGTTGCAAAGTGATGGTGTCAGTGGATTTTCAGATGCATCACCTCTTCTGGGGCTTAACTCGGGGGGGGTGGGGGTGAGTCCTTCCGACCTATTTAAGGTTTTGAGTTCTCATCAGAGAGACCGGCTTCCAAACTCTGCTTTACCACCTATTAACTGAGTAATCTTTGTCCAGTTGACCTCCCTCAGCTTCAGATTTCTTCTCTGTAAAATGGGGATACCAATCATAGGTCTCGTTTCATAGGATTGTTGTAACATTTGGTCATCATATTTGCACATGTGGTATGCCATACCACAAAGTCTCTGTCTTTTCTTCTTGTTCACAGACAATAAAAATGGTGACAAGATCTTTAAAATGCAATGACTGTAGGAAATGTTGGAGAAAATTCAGATAAGGACATGGTTGGGGAACCCCTAGGTCTGAGATCATGCCTGGGTACTATTACAAGGATGCAAAAGATTAACTAAGTAGTAGGTATTTAATTGTTCTTTCACACGGTACAAGACCTATCGGGTACAAGGCCCGATAGTCAATACATTTTTAGCCTTTCTTCTTTTTCTGTTTCCACCCTTTGACTAATAAGTTGTCATTCCTTCCTGTCTTATTTACTGAGTATGTGACCTTTCCTTCTTGCCTTCTGTCTTCCAGATTTCTCACTCACTGACCGGCTGGTGTGCTCTGGGTTCTCAGCCCATGCTCTTTGTACTTGATCACTTTCTGGCATGTGATACAAGCCTTATCCCTCAGCATCTCTGGCCAAAACCTTCCTCTCTGTCTTCTCTTTTCATTTCTACATAAACCATCAGGGGGATTATGGCACAGGAGGTAAGAGCTGCTGTGAGGTCTGGTCCTGCTACTTATCACCTGGGTGGTCTCTGGCAAGTTATGTAACCTCTTTGTGCTTCAGTTTTCTCACCTAAAAGTGAGACGAAAATTCAACTACTTCATAGAATTATTGTGAAATAGAAATGAGTTGAAGGGCTGGCAGGAGGCATGGTGGTCGAGGTGCTGGACTCCCACATGGTTGACCACGGTTCAAGTCCTTGACCTGGCAGCTTGCTTTCTCACTCTCCCTCTCTCTCTGTCTCTTTCTGGTAAAACTAAATAATAATAATAATAATAATAATAAATAAAATTGAATGAATAATTCCTAAAATAAAAAAAGAAATGGGTTGCTATATCTAAAGTGCTTAAAATGCAGCGTGGCCTGCAGGGAATTCTATGCACATGTACATAATTGTTTTTATTATAGTCTCTCTCGTCACTATTTTCTGCATCCCTCCCCTCTTTTTAAGTGAATACTTATTTTTACTACTAATGCTATTCTGATCACCACTATCTACTGGACACTGTGACCTCTCCCTCGGCCTGCACAATACCACCCTCTTACTATTTCCATTTGGGATTCACAATACACAGTCTCATATTTAAGGAAATTTCATTGGTTTTACATTAAACGCTTTACTTCTCCAATCATATTCACATTTTAATCCAGCTAGCATTAATCTCCTATAGTGGAGAGAGGCTCAAGATTGATCCTATTGGCCTTCTAATTTGAAAATAAGACTAGGTAGCTTTCTTAGGAGTAAGAGGAAGAGAGAATCATGTTGATATTCTTAGAAGAGAAAAGGTTAAATTAAACATTGGTAGCAGGTAGAGTTCGCTAATAAAACAAAGAACAAATTTTACACAAAGAAGTCAGAGCAGATAGTCGGCTTCACCTGGGTTTGCGTTAATACCACACACCAAATGGTCTTTGTCTCATCACCATCATCAACATAGTAGTCCCCAGCACCAATCACAATGTGTTTCAAAGGCTAATTAGTAACTTTCAAATGCGTTTACCTGAGCCATTTGCCCTAATGATGACTGGACAACGCTTCTCTTGTCTATCACTGAGAACAGCAGCTCACCTTTTCTTCTGTGGAGACGATATCTTACTGACCCCCACGAGAGAGATTTACCTAATGATTTCAAAATCAAATTTCCTATTCTTTCAGGTCATTCTTTTACCAAATGCATTCCTAACATGCATTTATACCTAAGAACCGAATTCTTACCTATAACTTTTCCCAGGAAGAGTGACTTGGGAGAATTGAAGAGTGTGTCGGATGAACTCGGCAGATAGTAACTCACGGAAGGATAATGATCCAGCTGCAAGAAGAAAACAAAGACAGTTTTAGAAGCACGTCACTTTCCTGCACTGGAATCAAATCTTCCTGGGATGGGAGAGAGTGGTGGTGACCTGACTCTTTAAACTCTGGTTCCTGGATATCTTACATTATCACACTCTGTACCGCCAGCCTAAGGAAGTGGAAGTCCATCTCTTCCTTCACTGGGGTTACTTGAAAACAGAGCTTAGCCAGTGAAGACCCTTTATGAATCATGGTCCAACAGATACCCATTTTCCGTGGCTAACTGACCTGCTGGATTAATATCATTGTGCACTTCAATGGAGCAAAATCTGCTTGATCTACTCAATATTAACATCTGAGACAGAAAATGCTAAATGGTGGTGCCAGCAGGTCGCACAGTGGCTGAAGCACTAGACTCCCACATGCCTGACCATGGTCCGAATACTGGACCTGGCAGCTTGAGAATCATGCTGGATGCGTGTGCATGAATGCCCCAAATCCCAGGAGAATGGAGGAGAAGGGAATGTGGCATGGCCATCTCTTTTGGAGGGTGAATTCTCACTTTCCCTTTTACTGTCTCTCTTTCTCTGGCAAGTGCACGTGTCCTATGGTAAAGAGCAAAAGAGAAGAAAAAGAAAAGAAAAGAAAGGAAAAGTCATATGGGTGGGGGCTCTTCAAAAAGTTCACAAAAATGCATCTTATTAAAAAGCTATGTATGAATTTTAAGTTTTTGCATCAAAATAAACTCTTTAATTCCATTTATCATGAACTTTTCGAAGTCCCGTCATATAGCAATGGGTTTTCTTAAGGAGTCTTCACTGTTTTCTTCCTCTTTTTGTACTTTCAGCTTACACAGCAATATTGATCTTTATGCACACACACATGTATTCGAATGCTGAGCTTCAAGCAGGGTAAATAGACATTTTCCCTATCACAACAAGAATGATTTCTCCTTGCCACAGGCAGGGGGCGCTAGAGCCTGGAGGGACGAGGGCACATTTGCTATGGCACAGCTTGTTCTGGAGTGGGTGAGTTGGCACAGAGGGAAATGGAGTGGATGGAAAGAGGGCACAGATGATGCCTGTTGGAGCAAAGCACAGTTCTGATCACATTCCCAACGTTCAAAGTACAAATGGGGTCACGGACTCAGACCTTGTCTTGTCCTTTGTGTCTTTTTTCTTTTTTAAGAGAGATTTTTGCTGTAGAATGCTTGTGCTCACCGTGACAGAGAAAGTGAGAAATCCCCCCCTGGGGGGATGGCCATGCCGCAATCTCTTCTCTAGTCTCCTCTTAGGATTTTGGGCATGCCTGTACATGTGACTGGCATGAGTTTCTAGCCACTGGATCCAGGACTTGAACTGTGGTCAGCCATGTGGGAGTTCAGCAACGTAACCTTACGCCATTGGGTGTCCCCTTTGTGTTTTTATATAGCTTTTCCTGCCTTGTGTGAGAGGTCTTCAAGTTCACAGAAAATACAAATAATCAAAAAGCTATGCATAGGTTTCAATTTTTTTTTGCATCAAAATAAATTCGTATTTTAATTCAAGTTTTGCATGAACTTTTTGAAGTCCCCTCCTGTTCTTCGCTGTCTTGTTACACCTGATACACTCTAGCTGTGCTTCCCCAGCTGTGAGATCTTCTGTGTGTCCATTCATTTTTTTGAAGTGAGTTTAATACCTGCTGAGGTCTGAACAAGGAAAGGGGTGGATCTCAGGAAAAGAGGCTTTGCTGTCCTACCCAGGCATTCCCATGGGAACCTCGGGGATGGGGCAAGGAAGGGGACCACAACAAGTAGCAGCTTGTTGTAGATAGCAGTGCAGACTCAGAAATGATCAACTCCCCAGTCCTGTCCAACAACAGCTTGACAAGGCAAAAACCTGGTGAGCAAAGAGCAGGAGGCTGGCCATGCTCCTGGGAGGAAGGAGAGATGGCTGGGAGGAAGGAGTGCAGGGTAGGGAGCAAGTCTCATTCACCACATTGAAAGTGAGCTACTTTGATGAACAATCATTCATATTTAATGACTCTCTACAGCTGAGTCTTCAAACAGTAGAAACCTAAGTATCATTAGTCAATCAGGGTTAAGAACCAAAAGGTCATCACCTCTCAGGAACCTTTGAGAGTTCTGACCTGCAGACCTGGCGCTGTAAGCGTCTGCACAGGCATAGAACTACAAAAGTCAAACAACAAGAACACAACAAAACGGTTAAAGCAAACATTTGCATGCTCCACTATCATTTTGAAACGTTAGCTGTCATGTCAAACGCATCATTAACAAGACACTGTGGCCAGAGAATCTTAAATATTTTAAATCTCGTAAATTGCTGCTTTCGTGAAAGTCTACCTCTGCTGCTGAATATTAGCTAGGGGCTTTGTGCCATCTAGTGGTGAAAATGGGGAACTGCCACTGCCCCGCCACCCACTTCTTGCTGTCAAAAGGACTAACTGCAAAATGGCAGTGTTAATAATGGTCTATGCTGCAGAGTCTCTTAGCGATGCCAACGCCTAAACACTTCTCATCATTTCGTCTATTTTGTTAGTAAACTCTGAAAATCGACACAAATGATATATTTTTCATTACATAAAGATTTGCAGAAAAAAATGCCTGGTGATAATGCTAATTTGAAATGGATATTCTTTCAATGAAAAAAAAAAACACAAAACAATGAGGTGGAGCCCAACTGACACATTGTTTTGTACTATATAAAACTTAAAACTATATTATAAACCTCATTTGGCATCAATAAATATACAACTAAATCATTTGTCAAGGATCACTAGTACTCCCTGTTACGGCTATCCAAGGGGACTTCAAAAAGTTTGTGGAAAAATGAGATTAGCGTATGAATTTTTTTGATGAAAAAAATTGAAATCCATGGATAGTTTTCTCATGGTATGTACTTTCTGTGAAAGAAGACCCTTTGTGTAACACACAATGTTTAAAAAAATATCAATTTTTTTCACTCTGGGCACGTGTGTGTCCCGAGTAAGGAATAGAGGAGAAGTGATCGTGGTGTGGCCATCCCCTGGGGAGTGATTTCTCACTTTCTCCCTTTCTGTCTCTCCAGCAAGCACACATACCCTACAGCAAAAATCTCTCTCCCTCAAAAGAGGAAAAAAAAAAAATCAAATTTCTGTGTTTAGACTTTGAATTTCTTGAGTCCTCAGGTCCAGGGCAGTGCTGACCCATAGCAGGCTCTCGGTAAAAATGCATTGACACTTGTCGGTGTGGCTCTTAAGGCAGATGCATGGAGTGAATTGGCTTTCAGGCGTGCTCTGACCCACACAGTGCGGCCTTCTATATCCTGTACTGTTTCTATGGGTCCAGACCAGAAGGACTTAGTAAACCCCTCTTGGTTTGCTATAGGGCATGTGTGCTTGCCAGAAAGAGGCAGAGAGACAGAGAGATAGAAGGTGGGAAATCACCCCCCTAGGGGAGATGGCCATGCTGCAATCCCTCCTCCTCCATTCTCCTCTTGGGATTTTTGGTATGCGTGCACATGCACCCAGTGCGTATTTGAAGCCACTGGGTCTGGGATATGAATCATGAAGTTGGCCATGTAGGATTCAGTGCCTTAACACCCACACTGTCTCCTGGTCCAGGACTTAGCTTTTTTGGCAGCCATTTTAGATGATTTATGTTGAGCTCATAGTAAATACAATTCCTAGTTTATCTCTATAAATTTATCCCCTTCTTATATCTATGCAATTGATGGTTTGAATTAAAATGCTATTTTTTTTTTCAGTTTGCTATAGGGTGCATGTGCTTGCTGGAGAAAGAGAAAGAGAGAGAGAGATATAAAGTGAGAAAGAACCCCTCCCCCCGAGATGGCTATGCTGCAATTCCCTTCTCCTCCGCTCTCTTCTTGGGATTTTGGGCACACATGCACACACACCTGGTGTGTTTTACAAGCTGCTGGACCTGGGACTTGAATTGTGCAGTACGCCATGTGGGATTCAGCTGCCTTAGCTTTTACCTGTGGGGCCCAACATGCTAAATTTTACATTTATTTACATTAAATTTTATTTTGTTTTGAAACACAATGTCTTAGTCCACTATTGCATTACTAACAGAAATATCTGAGACTGGGCAATTTATAAAGCAATAGAGGTTTATTTGACTCATGATTCTGGTGGCTGGAAAGTCCAAAGGCTTAGGACTTAGGGCTGGCATCAGGCCAGCCCACAACATGGCCAACAGACGCAGAGAGATTGATGGGTGCATGCAGAGAAAGCACAAGCTGTGAGCAGCTCTCTCTTGTAACAACCTGCTACTGTAAGAACTAACTTCTCAGAAGAGGCAGAGCTCACTTAGCACTCACGAGACAGCATCAATTCATTCACGAGGCCTGTGCCTATATGATCCAGTAACCATGATCCATCCCTGCCCACTGCGCCTCACTACCTCTCGACGCCATCACTGGGGACCAAATTCTAGAACATGAACCTCTGTGGAGCAAACCATTATGTAACCATCGCACACAATAATGACTTACTTAAAAGTTTTAGAATCTCAATTCTGTCGTCTAATACATGTTTGGTTCACTTAAATACATATTTGACATTCCTAATCTTAATTCATCAATAAAGTCATTCATTAGAAAATATCCAACAAGAATCTAAGGGGGCAATGTTACACAATTCTAATCCAAATTAGGACTAGAATTCAGTTAGGAAAACATTTTGTAATAATTAAAAAAGGAAAACAGGACGAGTACTGCAGTAAACAGAAAGCTATAACATTCACGAGAATTACTCGGGAGCAGGAGGACTTTTTATAAAGTAAGGGGGAGTAGGGAAATAGAAGGAGCACAGACCGAAAAGAGGAGTCTGATGAAGTATTCCTGGCCTCTAGGGGTGAGGAGTTCCATGCATCTTTAGTCCTCTCTGAGCTAATCCTGCTGGCTTGGGGCCTGAGAGGGAGAGCTGTGACTAGAGGGGACAGGTAGGATTGCAGGAGGTTGAGGGGAAGTGGGGGTGGGGGGGTGGGCAGTGAGTAAGGGACAGGCAACTCAGGGCTGA